AATGATCAATTCACATCTCTACAAATATCTGTCTTCTATAATGCTCTTCTACTGCATGAACCTAAATTTGGCACAATTTATAATTGGGAATACATTTATTGTTCAAACATCTTTTTTGCTCGAACAAGTTTAACATTGTATATTATCTAACTCACAACATGTTGACAATCAAGCTAGAATTTTGACTATAAAAAACAGGGAGTAAAAATAAATACGAAAAAATGGATAACTAAAATTATTGTATATACATAGTAATAAAAGTAAGAGCTTGAAAATTGACAAGCCAGCCTTCTAATATATCATTCAATTGAGTACCTTGACGCCATGGCCTACAAGATTTCCACTAGATTTCTTGTTTGAAATTCTTCAAGTTTCATTGCTTTCACTACTCTTTATTTTATATAAAGCTAAAGTTGCATTTTAAAATGTAGACAGTGATGGATAATTTAAACTCTCGTTTGGTCCCCATTATCTACCTTTATTTGGTAGAGTAATGCTATTTAACTTTATTGAGATTGTAACTCCAGTTTAGACAGCATTGATGTGATACTGGTATTAAATAATATGACTCATTTAATTTCATGTTTCATTTAACTTATCATCCAACGCCACTTAGATTGAGATTGCATTCTCAATGTGGCTACATAACATTATTCTATTTGGTATTATAATTTTTGGAATAATATTTTTTTTGGAAAATGAGTGGTTAAAAAAGAAGGAAAAATTTTAGTTTCACGTGTAATATTATTTTATTGTTGAATATGTGGTTGAGAAGAAGGAAAAAAAATTATTATAATTTAACGGAGGACTAATTGTTACTGGTCACCACAATATCTCAATTCTCGATTAATCCTTAACTCAATTAACTTGCAATTATGCTTTGTGTATAATATTGTTGACAATATTATTGGCAACATGTCACATAGTACGTTGTCTTTAGACAAATTAAAATACAATTTATCTTTTCAATCAACATTTTTTGCTACCTAAATTATTATCAATAATGTTGTAAAAAAAAAATTCCACAAATAGATTTATCCATTAACTCAACATTTTGTGCGACGAGATTAAATTGACAAGAATTCTATGAGTTTGTTTGGTAAAGATTAAAATTGGATTAAAATTGAAAAATTAGTCATTATTGTTGACTTTTATTAGACGAGTGAGACCCAATAACGGCTACATTTTCTTTCTCATTTACCGATGTTGTGTATGTTTCATGTACGTACAAAAAGTTAGATATATTCTATTTAGAGTAATGTTATTTAACTCCACTGAGGTTACAATCTTAGTTTAGGTGATATTAATGTAACATTAAATGATATGTTTCACATTTTACTTAACATATCATTTAAAGCCATCTAAATTGAGATTGTAACCCCAATAAGATTACATAACATTACTCTTCTATTTATAGTCATTTGATTAAAGCCTTCTAAAATTATGTAATGAATTCATCAAATTATTTCGAAATGATTAAAATATTTGTATTTAAAAAATAATTTTGTCAAAATTTAAATTGGGGTGAGATGCCCTTCCAAATAATTAAGTTGTCAGAAAAGACGTGTTATGGGGACGGGGGCAGGAAGGGAAAATTATTTTATATTGGACACAGGTCACAGGCTGACTTTTCCTATCCTCTCAAGTTCCAATGTGAATAGAATTCCTATTTTGCCCTTTTTTATTATTATACCTCCTCCTTGGTGGAGCTAATTTAACAAATGGTTACTGAAATTCAAGTAAAGTTTCAAATTGGTCAGAAAGTATTTTAGTAACCATTTTAATTACTAAATTAACTAATATTATGTAATTGATCACTTTTTGAGTTGCATACACTCAGAAATCTGCCTTAGACCCATTAAACATTGACTAATCATCATTATTTTTGTGTCGTGAAATTATAGATCTTTAAAATAAAAAACATTCTTATGAGAAAATACACCACGTTTAACTAAAATTTTCATATCGCTCCCTTTAATTCTAACCCCTATTTTTATCATTAATGAGCAGGAAAAAATAGGAGGCTAGCTAGAAGGAATGATAAGTTTGACGGCCTTAGTCTACGTGAAGGTTTAATAGCTACATCGAATATTGTATTAATCAAGCTAATGGAACAACCAATCATATAAAGTAAGTTAAACTTCAGTGACTAAGTAGATCACAAAAATACTTTAATAATAAATTTGAATTTTTGCTTGAACTTTAGTGACCATTAGTTAAATTAATTCTTTTTGTAGGGATAACCAATTCAAAAGTGACCATTTATATGAAGATTTCTAAAGGTTTTGGATAACTCTACTCAACCAGAACTATTCATTC